TTTAGGCTAGTAATAGTATACTTCAATATAAATATATTTACTATTGACTTGTATACGTAAAGATATCAAACTTTAAATCAATAGCTTCTGTATGACTTTAAAAGTGATATTAATTTTATAATCGTTGCATAGTTACTCAAACCCTCCACAAGAGTAGAAGTAGCATACTCTTATAATATTATAATCTTCATCATAACCTTCTTATCACAATCTTCATCAAAGTTGCTCTAAGTTCCTTTAAATCTATTTGAAAGAGTCTTATGTTTATAGGTTTTAATCTGAAAATTATAAGATAGTCGGCGTTATTTTTATCAACCCAATAAAAGTTGTTTATCAAGCACAATATAAATGAAAACTTGGGTTAAAATTAAACGGCTCGACTGATAAGTGCAGTCATGGCTTTGCTTAGAACCAACGTCACAAATTTCCATTAAAATGTATTTAGACAATTGTTTATGAAGTCTCATATGGGTGTTGTCTCAGTGTTGCAAATGGACTGTGTCTAGATGATTATTTATATTAATTAATTCATCACATATTTTTTTTATATACTATTACTTTAATTACTTTTTTCCTTTGATTGATTGTTATAAGGTCTTGAATGGTTATGTCTGAATAAAAATTTAAAGAATTTATTGTTCTACGTTTTTTTTAGTTTATTTAAAGTCTATGCCTTTTAGAAGAATCAGTCTCGTGTTTTACACACAGTAAAATGTAATAACTGGTAATTACAGATAAATAAATATCTTCCTTTTCTAAGCAGAATCTTTGTTCTGAAGAGTATTAAAGACGAATGAAGCTAAAGAATTCTTATTTGGTGTTTCCTTAAAACATATAATGTATTACTTTCGATAATAATATGGAAGTGCTTTAAGCTTTTAATCATACAAAGAGCATTAAGTTCTTAAATGTTAAAGCCATGAGACAAATTGAGTATCCAGAAAATACGCACCTTGGTAGCGTCCACATCCCACTGATTGATGATTTATAATTTAATTTAAATTTAATTATTTTTTTACCTAAAAAAATAACTCGTACTCGGAAGTAACTCGTATAAACTTAATCCTTATAAGAAATATTATGTCAGCAGTACAATAGGGAATAACCCGTTTTACCCCAAGTTCAAGGTATCCTTAAATAATGAGAAAATATAATGCTTTAAAACCAAATATATATGTAGAAATGTAATACAGTTTTCTATAATAAAAATGAAAAATAACTTTACCGATATAAAATATGTTTATAATTACTTTAAACATTGTATATATTTTGTTATGTATTAACGTTTATTAGAATTGTTATTGAAAAACTAAAATTATTCTAAATTATTATCCTCACTTGACAAAAAGCTCTGTGAGAGGTGTATGCACAGGACAAAAATGTTAACAAGTTTCATCATCAACGGCACGCTCGGATATTGGCACTATTAGGTAAAAAGGGTCATGTTAAAGCCCAATTTCGGTGGACATTGACTGATGATGCTTAGCCTAACGCAATATTTTATTTAGAGAATGTAAAGTGATTATTTATATCCAGAGTATTTATCACGTAACCCACATTAAATAATGAATGAAGTTTTCTCATACAAAAGAAACATAGATACCTATTTCTAAATAGACATTGAAAAAATATATATTTAATCCTACAAAGTATCCAAGAATAAAATTCCATTATACAACATTCAACTTAATATTAAAATGAACAGTTACATTTCGTTATGCAATTTATTCTTATGCTCATTTATTTTTCAGGAATAAAACCTTAAGCTATGATAACATAAGTAAACTACTCCAATAACTGTTTAAGACATGATAATTCACACAAGCTTGCTTGAAGGGTCAACGTGTATGAAATAACCTCTTACAACAACGCATAACAGTTCAGATCTTTTGTTGCCACAGACAAAGTCCAACACAAACACCAAAACCTTTTGTGTAGGATGGAAAACTTTCCTTTCGAATTCATCAAGCTAAATACTTTTAATTAAAATTAAAATCTGTAGTCTATGATGGATGGTATTAAATTCTTATTTGAGCAAATAAAACAAAGAAGATTTAATAATATTTATGTGACTTATACTTTCTCCTATTGGCTTGTCAGCAGCCTCTAACGCTTGCTCATGTTAAGACGTGAGCAAGCGTTGAGAGGAGTCAAGGAATTTTATGGAAAAAAATGTCAAAATATGTAAAAGCTCTTGGACCGTAGTTTTAACAGCTTTTGGTGTCATACCGTTTTGATTAGAGTTTAAAAAGCTTCTTATCAGCATCGTACGTGTTATTAAATTTACGGAAAGTAAATGAAGAAACTTCTTATAACCCTTAAAACGTATATATATACGCTTATACTGTTACTCACAAGACGGTAAATATACAAAAAAGGTGGTAAGTGGTGATCAATTGGAATTCGACACTCCAATCATCGTCAGACCCGAAAGGCGAATAATGTCATTTATGTTTTAGGTGTTATAAGACGTTTCTTTATTTACTTTCCGTAGTTTAAAAAGCCACAACATACCAATGCTTCTTAACATTTGATCCTTTTTATGTAACAATCGGTTTTTTTGGGACCAGGGGTGTCATACTAAACAGAAATATTTCCACTTAATACTCGATCTACGATTTGACCTTGTGATTCCGCCCCTTTGACTGCAAATTTTATATGTTACACAGTATTATGCATAAGTAAACGGTAGCTTAAATAACCAAGTTTAAGAATTCTCCGTATACAATTCTTAGAAAAATACTATATCAAATTCTACTACAAGCTATGTAGTCTATCAAAACTGTATTGCCATTATGTACCGCAGTAAATGTCATCATTTAAAAGACGATTCAATTGGTTGGGAATCATGAGTTAATGTTAAAGATAAGGTAAATCTTAACATTTCTGTAAGTCTGGAGGGGAGGGATGGTCGGGATAACTTTTTACTTAAGTCTGTGGTAGTGTTGGAAAACATATAAATATCTAAAACTTTGTGTGTAGTATAATATGGAAGTATAGCGTTATACTTTTTCAATTCAATTACATAAACTAATAATTTTTAACGACCACATTTGGCATCATTTAATTACATTTTGTTTTCTTTTAAATTTGAATAATAAATTAATTATTGACGATAAGTAAGACTAAAATAAGTCTTATCTTGATTATACAAGTTTTTTTGAGAACCTCTATAAATACAAGCTACATACAGCCCTCTTTATCTGTTATGATTTTTATAACCATTTTTCAAAACTCTGGACAATTACAAAATTTATAAAACACTACAACCATTCACCTTTTTTGAATAATAACCATGCAATACAATTTAAATTTTACTTGTAAAATGTATAACTGCCAGTACAAATTGTTTTAATTTATTTGTGTCAGAGCGTAAGCTATAATGATAAATTCCTATTGTATTAATTATATGCAACCATATATTAGGGGATGATTGAATAGCCTACTCTGATTAGACCCTATTCAACAATGTGGAATAATAGCCAGCTTATTAACCTAAATATGAAAGATCTGCATTTGAATGATAATGTATTTCTTATTAATATTTATTATATTCAAGGATTCAGAATATGTTTTTTATTTTCTATTTCAGAGAAAACCTTGTACAAGATATATATTTTTTTAATACATAGTAAAAACTCAATATCAATGATATTGTATAGTCTAAACACGTTTTAAAATTAAGTTTAGTTTACGATTAGATTTCAATTACTACGGCATTGTCGTATATATTAAAGATAAATACCAGTAATGACGAATAAATACTATAGTTGTAACTACAAAACTCGGTTTGATTATTGGGTTTTAGAAATACGTGATTCAAATAGAAACACAACTACGGTTAGTACCTCTTGATATTTTCCTGAGAGAAACGCTCTTTATCATTTGCTCAAGTCATATCGTATGCAATACATAAACATAGCCTGAATATTACTCCGCGCCTCATAGACGATCCAACATTCGTTTCACTGATCGGGTCAATAAGTCTCTCGCACCAACTCCGTCATGGGTATTTGCTTGCTTCCTACCATCAAACTTCCTTTGTAATTGATTTACAAACAATCCCAATAGTATAGCTTAAATTAATAATGTTAAACATTGTATTGCAAAACATAAAGCTAAAGCTGAGCCTTTTTTTACGCACTATAACTAACCAACATTTACGTATTTTTATTAAAAATAGCTTTTAAACAAAATAATAATATCTGATCATTTTACGATTTATTCATTTAACGAAGGGGTTTACTTTTATGTACACTGACTATATAAGCTGTTTTCAAAAACATAACTAGTCCGAAAGGAAACCTATTCTTGTCTCTTAAACAAATTATACTATTTAGCACTAACGTTCATAAACTGTATTGTCTCTTCTTTACAGTCTTACTTAGTAATAAAATGCAACTGTAGGTATCAGTTGTTAATTATAATTCAATTTGAAAACTAAGAAGTAGAGCAAGCTGTCCAGCATTACGGGTCAAGTGAAAACCACCTAGAAATAAATCAAACTCTTAAGGGGCGAAGCCCTATGAGAAATTGATCGCATTTGTCACCTTGTATATTCGTTGTTAAGTATTTGAGTAGGTGTTTATTGGTTATATGATTATTACAATATTTTAAATATTAATAATTTGTCTTTTTCTATTGACTAAATGTCATTTTGTGTAAAGAAATAAATATATCAATTCAAAAAGTTTACCTTTTTTGGAAGTTAATTTTGTGACAAGTCATTTAAGTTATCATGAAATCAACACTGTCTTGTCTGCGGTCCACAAAATGTCCAATAATTTGTATATATTTAATTTACAATTAGTTGTGTTAGGTTTGTATATATTTTTTTCTTTTTCCCAGTAAGTAGGACTAACATTGAGCAATATCAATGATTACTGCTCCATACACTTAGAGGACTGATTTAGCCCAGAGGTAATCTGTTGTGCCTGTTGTTTTACCCTGATGAAAGCATATTACTAATTAATTAGATGTTCAGGTTTGCTTTGACTCACGATGAATGTTGAGTTTCCAACCATCCTCGACAATGTGAGGGGTTGTTCCGACCCTGCAAGTAAGGAACTTCCCGGAATCTTCCATCCCCGGGACAAAGGACAATGAGCTAATAGTCACGTTCTCGTCCTTTGTAGTCTGCAACAATACAACTCTCTCAGCTTCAAACTACGCAGCAATGAGGTCGGAGGTATTGCTTTGGCATATACAAGTGACTTAAGAAATTATAAAATCAAAGGATTACTTAACCAAATAAAAAACAATCCCCAAGTCGTACTTCCTTAATTTAAGTTATTTGTTTAAATTAACTGAAAAATTATTAATACGAAATCTTTAAATGAACAATGGTTTAAAAGAAAAACACATAATTAGCATAGAAGTAAAATACGTATTCAGAAACCAATATACGATTTATTCGCGAGACCCATTACATTTTATTGACGGATGAAATGCAATGATAAATACACACTCTTCATTAAATATGTATTGCAGTAATTTATAGTGTTGGTATCTTTTATTGAAATTGTGTTTAAATATGTACAGCTAGTATAACTTGTATAACTTGCTTATGAAGATTGTTGAATATTTAAGCTTCAACAAGGATTGGTACCCCTCAATATTATTTGCCAATTTGAATAATTATATTAATGCTGAATTATAATAATAATAATATGGTGAGTCTATTGATCTTGCTAATTAGACCATTATCTACGATAAAGCAAAGCCAACAAGTACACATAAATTATACAATATTTATTTATTACAGCATTTATATGGTTGATATTATCGTTTATCGTGATTTAAAACTAATCTTTTAAGCAATAAACAGCATTATGATCACGTAATACATTGTGCTTACAGTTCATCCTGACACTGAGGTTAGCAGACAGCGGATGGACCTGATTGTTGTTGGACGCTTGACACGTGTAAGTGTCGTGTATACTTTGCCGCTTGAGGTTCTCGAGATGCAGCGTGTTGCGGACTCTCCGCTCAGACAACACCTCGTACGAGTTGTCGATAAGCTCGCTGTTTCTCCACCACGAGACTCGTGGCTGCGGCCTCCCTGTTTAGTTACATTTTAAATTAACATTTTTGTTTGAATACATTTATTCAGATTTTTTTAAGTATTAGTTTTATTGATATATTGGGTACCAGTATATTTACTGTCAGTAACTAGACTATTTTAACCGTTGTTATTTTCTGTCTTGAACTTAATATAACTTAATCGTCCAATCCTGGTCCATAAACGTGGTCTAGATCACTATCGGAATTGGTTATAACATTTACTAGTAACGATTTTAAGTAGAACTTTTTGTTCATAGCCAACTTTCCACTGTGTCTGGTCTGGTGTCTGGTATACTGAGTAGCCTAATTTAATTTTTTTCTAATCAAAAGTTTATCTCGTAATAGTTTAGGTGCACAACGAAAATTATTGGGTATTATAAAAGCCATACCTAGATTGTTTGTATTATTATTTCAAAATAAATCGTGTTAATCATAGGGGTACATGTTATATAAAGAAGTGCAAAATCATAGTAGTATGCATTTAAACAAGCTACAAACAAATTACTATGAATGGTCGGAATCCGTTAAACCGCAAAGTGCGAACTCTATGTAAACAGCGGTAAATGAAAGGCAATTAATAAAATGGGCAATATACGCTCCTTACGGCTTTACTCTAATTGCGAGGAGCTGATTAATTGGACAGTGAGTCCCTGGTGTTTACACATAACATACTGACCACCTTTATTGCTTGGCAGACGGCCACACGTATAACTGCTGGTTTACTAACCGCGCTTCCATTTATTAAGATTTGTTGGCAACAATATATTTGGTTGAAACTTTAGGATTCTAGTTTACTGTTTAATAAATATTAATTATCACTAAAATATTTATTTTTGACGTAAAAAACGAATATATAATATAGACAGCCATCAATAATGAGGAGGGCGCTGTCATCTCTGGAGGGAGGCCTAAGGTCACATTGGATGCCTGTTAGACACTGGCTGTGTGTCTAAACCATTAGTTTGTATAAAACAAATGTTTTTATTTACATCTGATTAAGAAAAATGATTTGTTGTTATTGTAAATAAAACATAAATTGTTTTGAATGAAAACTAAGCTGGAAGAAATAAGTGTATTTTTTTTTTTACTTTAACTAAATTGTATCCATAAAACTAATCCAATTCATAACTTATATTTACTAATTACCTAAGAAACTTGAAACTGAGATACTAAACTGCATTTTTTCCGTGGTTGGAGATCCCCAAGGGTATAGTACAAATTCAGAAATGTCTTCTCAACGACTACGAAAGAACTACAAATAGCTAAGTATAAGATTAAAGAGTGCAATTGCCGAAGCCAACGACTTGATAGCTGCCAGTGAGACTACCGTTTTTTGTTTGTTTTTTTTTTTAGACTAGTAACGACCATAAATGCACTTCAACTTACACGAGACGAGTTGAGGAAATTATGTTCAAGAAAACATAACAGTAGTTTTTTTTATTAATCTTTAGTCTTTTACAGTATTCATTATCAATCACATTTTCAAGTTACACTTTTGATCTTTGCTACAATCTATCTAGACCATAAGTTAACTAAACCTATGCATAAACCATTTCGTTTAGGACTAAGATAGGTAGCCAGGAAAATAGTTTTTTACGATATGTGATTTTTGGCTTTTTTACACTACAACCAATGTTTATATGCACGCATTGTTACATTCATTTTTATAAGTTATAAGTAATTAGTTTATTTTACATTTAAATGTATAGCTATCGATTAGTATAGCCATTACTATTCCATAGATAGAAAGATTATTGAGAAAAATTGAACTAAACTTAATTCAACCCTACTAATAACTGCATCAATTATATTAGCATGAACCATGAACACATAATAAAAATAAAATGACCCATCTAAAGTTTTTTTTTTCGTAAAGCTGTAACACTATAATCAAAACATAGTGGTAAAAAAATGCTAAATTCTTTAAAAGTAAGTAGCCTATCATTTTAAATATTTGTACTGTACAGTTATTTATACATTTCAGTGTAATATCTTTGAATGTCAAGTGAAGTTAATGCTGTATGCTATTTTATTTTTATTTTAAATTCACTTTGAATTTTGTTTAAAATTAATATAACTATAGAAGTAAAATTCGCAGATCAGCATTTTCTATAAGAAGAATATTATACCTCGATGTAGATTTATCACAAAGAGTGGATCGCGTTGCCTACAGATAGCAATGCAAGTATGTGAATCTAAACTGTTTGTGTGTACTAACCTTTCTAAAAACGCTAACATTTCATCAACGGAATGTTTCCTAATACAATCTAAAATCCGAAGAATACGTTTGGGTCGTAAGTAGCTACTACCGTAGGTGGCACTGTAAGACATAAGCCGGGACCCATTAACTTTTTCATTTTGATGATCTCAGAAGCGAAAAACACCATTCGTTCTAATTGTTATATATATTGGAGGGTGCAACTGAATGACTTCCAGTGCATATTTTATGTGACTGGCTTCCGAGGCAAGGCCGTGCATATATATATGCAGATACTTCAAGTTGTATCCAGTGTTCTCTTATGTAATGCTGACTCCCCAGAACAGTGATTATCCAGAGTGTCTGGTCCCCTTGCTCTTAACCCTTCACATCTACCGACGTGCCTGACACAATAGACATGGAGATACTTCAAGTTGTATCCAGTGTTCTCTTATGTAATGCTGACTCCCCAGAACATTGATTACCCAGAGTGGCTGGTCCCCTTGCTCCAAACCCTTCACACTTCCACAGATGTGCCTGACACAATAGACATGCAGATACTTCAAGCTGTATCCAGTGTTCTCTTATGTAATGCTGACTACCCAGAACAGTGATTACCCATAGTGGCTGGTCCCCTTACTCCGAACCCTTCACACTTCCACAGATGTGCCTGACACAATAGACATGCAGATACTTCAAGCTGTATCCAGTGTTCTCTTATGTAATGCTGACTCCCCAGAACAGTGATTACCCAAAGTGGCTGGCCCCCTTGCTCCGAACCCTTCACACATCCACGGACGTACCTGACACAATAGACATGCAGCTACTTCAAGTTGTATCCAGTGTTCTCTTATGTAATGCTGACTCCCTAGAACAGTGATTACTCAGAGTGGCTGGCCCCTTACTCCGAACCCTTCACATTTCCACAAACGTGCCTGACACAATAGACATGCAGATACTTCAAGATGTATCCAGTGTTCTCTTATGTAATGCTGACTCCCCAGAACAGTGATTACCCAGAGTGGCTGGCCCCTTACTCCGAACCCTTCACATTTCCACAAACGTGCCTGACACAATAGACATGCAGATACTTCAAGATGTATCCAGTGTTCTCTTCTGTAATGCTGACTCCCCAGAACAGTGATTACTCAGAGTGGCTGGTCCCCTTGCTCTAAACCCTTCACACTTCCACAGATGTGCCTGACACAATAGACATGCAGCTACTTCAAGTTGTATCCAGTGTTCTCTTATGTAATGCTGACTCCCTAGAACAGTGATTACTCAGAGTGGCTGGCCCCTTACTCCGAACCCTTCACATTTCCACAAACGTGCCTGACACAATAGACATGCAGATACTTCAAGATGTATCCAGTGTTCTCTTATGTAATGCTGACTCCCTAGAACAGTGATTACTCAGAGTGGCTGGCCCCTTACTCCGAACCCTTCACATTTCCACAAACGTGCCTGACACAATAGACATGCAGATACTTCAAGTTGTATCCAGTGTTCTCTTATGTAATGCTGACTCCCCAGAACAGTGATTACCCAGAGTGGCTGGCCCCTTACTCCGAACCCTTCACACTTCCACAGATGTGCCTGACACAATAGACATGCAGATACTTCAAGTTGTATCCAGTGTTCTCTTATGTAATGCTGACTCCCCAGAACAGTGATTACCCAGAGTGGCTGGCCCCTTACTACGAACCCTTCACACTTCCACAGACGTGCCTGACACAATAGACATGCAGCCCCCTTTTTTTGATTACTGACTGCAGTACTCAATTACCAGTCTAAAGCCTTACCTCTTTTGCACGTCTTCTTCAGTGGTACACTTTACCCTTTATAGAGGTGTTACGAACACTTATTCATCATTTCGTGCTAAAAACAAAAAAAATTAAAATTAAAATATTAAAATTGAATACCAACATCATTCAATTAACTGTATTAACAGCGTACTATATGCAGTAGAGTATTTTAAAAATATAATGTATTAAAACTATGTGGGCCACTCCAGTATGAAGTGCAGTTGGGCCGGATCCAGGAGCGAGTTGCCAGCTGACGCATTGCCGGCACTCCACGTGGTCGGCTAATATTTCATCTCGCCATTTGACTTATTTTCCACATATTTCAAACTTTAAATAAACAATCTAATTTAGTTAAATTAACATTGGCTTTCAGTTTAATAATTTCTTTCAACTAAGTAATTATAACTGATGTTTGAATTTATTTTACATTTTTTAATGATTGATTTTACCATTTATCAGTATATCAATCGGAAAAGACTCGTTTTATATATGAATAAGCAACATACGTGTACTAAATCCACGTGAAATAAACAATGCATACTAATCCATCCTATGTGTAGATGGGTCTTTTAAATTGTATAATACAGAAAACCAGTCAACTGCACGTCATAAATATATGGCACAAAAACTAATTACCGCAAATAAACTAATTGAAATTGTTATTTTTACAAATGAATCACTCGGGACCGAGTAATATCTCATTTTACCTTAATTTTTCAAAAGTAAAAGAAATTGCTTTAATGGTAGTTGTAAAGGTCGTATAAACTTGTTTTGTGATATACAATATCCTATACTCTATATGAGCAATGTTTGCTTATATAATTGTATTCTTGTATGCTTGCACAAAGATCTCCTTAACGACTACAACGATTTCCTTCAAATGTAGTAATAATTTATTTCTGACCTAAACACGTGTTAATTGCAATTAAAATTGCCTACAAAAATCAAATTATGTAAAAATCTTAAATTGAAAGTCAACTTTTTTAACACTGGCCTTGTGGGTTGCCCGTTACCATGTTGGTTGAACAAAATCTATAATATTAAAACGAAACAGTGTTTTTTTTATTTCACGATTCTGAATCAACCACTCGACGGATTTTCATGATTTTTGTGTTTAAAGAAAGATAATTTTGAGAACTAAGGAATGTCGAAGCCATAAATTTAGTTTAGGGTCCCAGTTTTTTAGAAATTAAGTTTTAATTTTTTAAAAGTCTAGCAGCCGACGCTAAGATTCTAAACTAGCTTTCGGCATAAAATAATTTGCTTAACATAACAGCTGTAAACATTCAGCTTTTGTGTCACAAATTCAGCATTTGGATAAAAATGTAAAGACATACTTAGGGTTGACTTATTTATACTATGTGCAATGCTAATCATTGATACGTTCAATTCTTCTGTAAGAGGATGACAGATTAATTAAATTATACATAGTAAAATACTATGATGTTCAAATTATTTTTTAAAGCAATATTTGTAATCTTCCATTTGTTTTAGAGCAATATAATTTGTTTTAACTAACAGCTGGTTAAATATAAACTATGGAACATTAGGAATGGTTCAATGTGTAAACTAGCTGATCTGAATTGTACACGGTTTTAACTGACTACTGAATTCCCGTACGTAGGACGGGCTAACACCTCGTAACAAGGGAAAAGTAATTATATTACTTTTTATATTTTTTCCAGTTATGAAGAAGATTTGGAGTACTTTTTAACTGTTGACAGCTTGAAAATGAACCTTTAGGTTCGAAACCTGGGTCGCTGACCTAAACCCGCATCACCGACAGTACCACAAGTATTTAACCTGTTATTAAAAAAAGTAAACAAAAGACTTGAACATTTGTTTATAACAAGCCATCCACAGTCTACTAGCAAAATATAGGAAAAAATAGTTCCGATCAAATACTGATTATTTTACTCAGCACTCTCCTACCAAAATTACTGAAGTACTGAGGCAATTCTTAGCAAAATTTTTTAAATTTATTTTATTAAAATTTAAATTTTTGTAACACAATTTTTCATTCAGCTTTTTTAATCCACACAAACTGTCAAAATCATGTTTATGTAAGCATAGACTATTAATGGTATTATAAACGTAAGACTTTTACCACAGACTGTTAAATTAAATAAATGTGTTGTAAACTGCCAGGCTAAAATTTCTAAAATAATAAAATGAAATTCCACTGAAACGTTAATAATAAAAGCCAAAATTAGCTGTAAATATAACGAGAGTCTCCTTTATATTGCTTTAAAATGAAAATAAACTACTCTGCTTTAACTTTGTTTGGATTAGGCCCGGAAATATTGATGTCATAAAAAGAAGATCAAGAATAATCAGGAATCACGATTTTAAATTACCACCACAACCTCAGCCAGGTTATTTGATTTACTCTTATTTTGTCATTAATTATAGGAAATAAGTATGATTAGTAGAGATAATTAGACCACAGTTTAAAATAGTTTAGACCAAAATTAATTAAACCACAATCGAGGCTCTGTACACGAGTCTTAATAAAAAAGGATAAATGCAAATTATTTTACTGCTCCACTTTTCAAGGAAAGAATAGAAAAATAGTAATGTTTACATGTTTTATTTCTTCATGGTAGCTTATTGTTTACAATAATGTTTGTCTGCTTTAACTTTCTTTGGATTAGGCCCGGAAATATTGATGTCATAAAAAGAAGATCAAGAATAATCAGGAATCACGATTTTAAATTACCACCACAACCTCAGCCGGGTTTTATACAAAGATAAACAGATGGATGACATAGATTGAACACAACATCAACATTGACCTAGGATACTGCAATTAGACAAACGATCCTTTTATGAAATCGTTTTCAGTTGTGGTTACGTATGGGGGCGCCTATATCAGCGCCCCCAAACGTGAAAATATCACTTTTATTTCAACTATGAATATATTGTTTAAACTAACTAATATGGGAAATTACGATGTACATTTATTCAATGAGGGTGGGTAATTATCAAGGATACAACTGATAACGGTATGGATAATAAACATTGACAATTACGTCATTCGCTTTACTAGCGTAGAGTGTTTACTTTTTATATTCCTGCTACATGTGACCAGTTCTTTTGTTCAAATGAATGTTATTTGAACCAAACAGCTGTTTCAAAACAAACTGTTATTGTTTTTACTTTTCTTTGTTTACGCTTATTTATTTAGCAATTAATGCAGTGAAATTGATATAAAGGATAGGTGTGACGTTTAGTTTTGATGTTAGGACACCAAAGTTAAATTATGTGTACCGCGCATTTTATTGGATACTATCGTTTTATTTTAGGCCGTTTCGTGTATTGTGGTGATAATAATTATGGAAGAGGGAGGTATGCTATGGAAGGTGGTATCGTTGACTAGGTCTATACACTTCTCAATTGACTATTACTCTCTCTACTGTAGGCTACTTATAATCAGTGTGCGTTTGTGCGAATCGGCTGCAAATCTCACTTCAACGCTTTTTACATCGTAAAAATTGCAGAATTGCTGTTTTATTGTAAAATTATCAGATTTAAAATGCACATCGTATAGGCCTATGATGGAATAAAAACATATTTGGTCACACAACATTTGTTTACAAGATGATTTTTCAAATTAAAACTGAAAGAAACTTTGTCTTTATATGTGTAAACTAGCTGATCTGAATTGTACACGGTTTTAACTGACTACTGAATTCCCGTACGTAGGACGGGCTAACACCTCGTAACAAGGGAAAAGTAATTATATTACTTTTTATATTTTTTCCAGTTATGAAGAAGATTTGGAGTACTTTTTAACTGTTGACAGCTTGAAAATGAACCTTTAGGTTCGAAACCTGGGTCGCTGACCTAAACCCGCATCACCGACAGTACCACAAGTATTTAACCTGTTATTAAAAAAAGTAAACAAAAGACTTGAACATTTGTTTATAACAAGCCATCCACAGTCTACTAGCAAAATATAGGAAAAAATAGTTCCGATCAAATACTGATTATTTTACTCAGCACTCTCCTACC